TTAGACTGAAAGATAGTCTTTGATAATTAAAATGCCGAAGATGTATCTCTTAGAGGCGTTATGATCCTTACTAATTTTGCAAATGTGACAGTTTGTTATCTCTTAATGTGTTAACAACTTAACCAATCCAATTTGTTGTAGAAGTACTTTTTTCCACGCACAACCACTCTTTGAAATCAACTTCTAGCCGAAGTATTTCCAAACCAATACGACATCATAACCTTGTCATTTGGTCAGTAAAGTTATTTAGATAAAAAAAAATGTGTTGATCATAATTTGCTTTGCTATATTAAATATATTTTTCGTGTCTATGATCTTTCGTAACTTTAGTGGATTAGAATGATTTAAATTCTGCTACTATTAGTATGCGTGCGACTACTATTTGATATAAAGGATCAACTATTATTTGTAGAGGCCCTATGACCTTCCCTGTTAGTCATACATTGCGTCACGTGTTCCACCTATAAACGAAGTATCATTTGGTAACACGACAATGACATTTGCGCTTCCAAAAAGACTTTTTATTACTCCAAAATAACCAAATAATAATCTCATATTATTTAATATACAGGTAGTACGGGACCGTTTTTATAGCAGTCTATGTGGGAGGCCTATGTTCAGCAGTGGACAGTTAACGGCTGATATGATGTTGAGGATTATGAACCTCATATTAAAGTCAGACGTCCTTGAACATCAGTTCATTTACATAGATGACAGTAACTCCATCAGGTGGGTTGTCAGTTGATTTCTAAACTGCTTAAGAGAGTCGCTATAATCTGTCAATATTCAAAAAGAATTTAATACTTTTCAATGTTTTTGATTGCTTGTTAAAAAAATTGCTCTGCTAGCGGACTGCTACGTCAGTCATAAAATACTTTGCATATAAATCTATCAATAAAAACTTTACACCTACTTCATATTTTGTTTCGGAATTTTTCGAATACATTAATGCCATCAAAATTTCAGTGACAATTTAATAATAAATATTATTGTATGATTATCGTTTTAGTTCGGTAGCAGAGCAGTTTTTAAATAATCAAATAGAAATATTGATATTTGTTAAATTGATTATGACAATTGACAGTTAATTGCGACGTTGCTGCACTTTGGTGAACTAAAATTATAAACGCTCTTAAAAATATATTAAAATATCCTAAATGACGTTTTAATATTTTAATATATTTTTTTTTTAATTTAAAAAGTTACTTTGACATAAAAAAGTGCTTCTTTCCATTCAAACAATATTTTTCTCCCCGGAATACATGGAACGATCATCAATAGTGCCACACGAATGAAAATGTGCGTGAAGTTTTGGAATCATAGATAAAATTACCTTGGTATTCAGGTTCAATGTAATAACGGAGTGGAACCATAGATAAAGTAATAGTAGAGCATAGTTATATCTTATCAGTAAGGTTTCTATATAGTCAAGTCTGTTGACACTGAGACTATTAGATCTAATAGCGTGCCATTTATTTACTTTTCTAAGTACATTCGAATGTCGTAAATGAAAGTGAGTTTGTTTCTTACGTCTTAACGGTTGAACCAATTACTATTAAGTTTGATATATTCTTAGTATAAGGGATAAAGGACAAAGGCTGCTTTATCCCGATCAGTGAAGATCTCCCGGTCACACGGACCAAACCGTGGGTAGTAACCTATTATAATTATGTATATGTAAGTTTGTAGAGGTGAGTGCATGGGTGGATATTTGTTAGTCTTTCACGCAAAAATTACTGAAAGGATTTGAATGAAATTTTGTAAAAAGATAGGTTATACCTTGGCTTAGAATATAGAGGATTTTATGTACTGATCTACGCGGCTGAAGCCAGATATATTATACCAGGTACTATATATAGATTTTACATTGTTAATGCATTTATAAATATTGTTAGCAAGAGTGGACTTATCTCTGACAGAGATTTCTTCCAGTCAAACCAATGCAGTTAGAAAGTATGTTGTTAGTGGGTAAATACACGTATAAAGTATATAAAAAAAAAAACAAATAAATAAATAAACAACCACGACGGTTTCTAGGGGGAAACGCGTGGAGGTCGACCCGACAACCCTGTCGGGTTGACCCGTATGGGTAGTAATACACCCGTATTATTAGCAATGGGACAATTAGACACTATCACTAACAATCCCTTTCCGCCTCACCATAAATGTATGATTCATATAGAAACCCTATAGATACATTCTCCTTTCGGGCTCTCAAGGTAGACTGGATGATGTCCCGTCAAGGAATAAGTCCGCCTGTGTAAATTTTCGCTATAACCTGATGTCTATATTAAAAATAATTGTACACAAGCATTTAATAAAATATTTTTTTTAAACGCGACTCTATAAACAACGGTTTCTAGTTCTAGTTATTCCTAGGTACATTAAGGAAACAGATTATATTTCTGTACGTTTACCATTTTCGTTTATTAAACGCTTATGTAAATAAATTTGCGCCGTGTGGCCGCGTGGTTTTTTTTTCTTAATGGTTGACAATGGAATGGTAACCCCACCCGTGCTATCGGTATACACCGGCGGGGCACCAGTGATGATGATAGGTGAGGATGAAGCAGGTCAGTTAGCCCATCGTGACGAATACGACAAGAATTGTTCAGGACGGTTTCCAGGGGGAACCACGTGGAGGTCGACCTAATAGAGTAAGAGGCGACTAAGGGAATTTCATGGTCGAGTGATGAACAGCAGCGTCCCTCTTAAAACATCACAAAAGCCTCACTGAAGTTACCAACCAACCTACCAAACGTGGCAACTATTGGCGAAGCCCTTCTTATGGGAGACGATTATGTCCAGCAGTGGACAGTTAATGGCTGATACAATGATATCATCATCTTCCTACCCTTATCCCAATTATTATTTGGGGTCGGCGTAATATGTTTTCCTTTACGAAAAAAAAAGATTTGACATATAGTTTTACGACCGGCCGCCTGCCTGACGTCAACCCTCCTTGGGAGGGGGGAAAGGGATTGTTAGTAATGGAGACTGAGAATCCCATTGCTAGCAATATACCCAACCAGGTCGACCTCCTCGCAGTTCTCCCTGGAAACTATCATGGTTAATTCCTGATAAATTCATCATGATGGGCTAACTGGCCTGTTTTCATTCTCATCTATCACCTTTCACTGGTGCTCCGCCAGCGTATCCCGTTAGCGCAGGCGGGGTTACCATACCATTTTCACCGATCAAAAAAAAACCCTCCTTGGGAAAGCATTTGTTAGTGGCTTCCGCCACCTACGGTGAAGAACAAAGGATTGAGGAAAAGGAAGGGAATGTTGGAAGTGCGTAAAGGAACATGGTAGGCTGATATAATGATAATATAATGTAATTTTGTGATGATTGGAGTGTTTTTTTTTTTTTTATTACTGAAATTAATATTTATTTCTTCAAAACTTATTCTTTTGTAAATTTCACCCCTGCCTGCGCTATTGGTATACGCTAACGGGACACCATTGAGAGATAATTGGTGAGGATGAAACAAGTCAGTTGGCCCGTAGTCGCGAATTCATAAAAAAATAACCAAAATGATTTCCAAGAAGAACCGCGTGTAGGTCGACGTGATAGGATATATTACTAATAATACCCTCGGGGGAGAGATTGTTAGTAATGGGGAAATTAGTCTCCATTTGCTATCAATATATCAGGTCGACCTCCACGCGGTTCCCCCTAGCCACAATCGTGACTAATTTATCGTTGAGTTTGTCACGATGGACTAACTGACCTGCCTTTTCATTCTCACCAATCATCCCTCACTGGTGCCCTGCCAATGTATACCGATAGCGTTAGCGGGTTACTTATCCATTATCATGCATTAAAAAAAAACTAGGAATGTCCCCTGCGCAGGCGGGGTTATCATTCCATTATAGTAAAAATATAACGATAGTTTTTTAGGGAACCGCAAGGTCAATCTGACATGCTATATAGCTAGCAATGGGGTTGGTAGTTCTCAATACTAACAATATTTTCCCCCCATTAGGTACAAGTAGGTAATATTCACTAAAAGATAAATAAATTCCAGACAAGACCATTCATCCAGACGACGATGTGGTTATGGACAGTTCATTGCGACTTGATTAAATTACCAACCATTTTTCTCTATGAAGCTCTATCATGTTTTCACAAAGAATAAAAACGAATGTCGAGAAAAATAACGAGCTAGCAGATAATAAATTACAGCTTATTTTCATATAAAATGTTTATGTGAATGAGTATACATTTCTATTTATATTACGTGTATTCTCCTGGATTAATTTGAAGACATTGAAAATTTACCGTGATCCCGGGCTTCAGGTGTAATGTGGGCATGTGTACTAACTAAACACGGTGCACTGCACTATTTCACTCCACGGTAAATATTAATTTCAAATATTATTATTATTTATTTTTTCACTGGCCGCGAATAATTCGGGCGCGAAAAATCGGTAGCACCCGACGCATGTTTCGATTGAATGTTTTGGTTCCTCGGTTTTTGTCTTCGTTTCTTGCTAAATATAATGATCGACACCGAAATGTATGATTAACGCCATCTATGAAACTCTACAGGAACAACATATTTAATAAATAAACACGGAGAATTTAATATAAATACATCTTTAATATTAAAATATAAAATAAAATATAAAAATAGCATAGAAATGGAAGTATATTTGTATAAATAAATATAGGTATATAAATGTAATATACACATCTACAAAAATCTACTTAGCCTTTTTATCGTATTAAATCGATTAAAAAGAATATCATTTGTAAATTAAAAACGCTAATAATATAATAGTAAAATTAAAATTTATATTTACATAATTCTTTATTTGTAAAAGAAATTATAATTGTTTAGTTTATTTAAAGAAAATTGCGTAGTTTTAGTTTTTGAACAGTGACATCTATTGATGTTAGATAGAACTACATGTCACTAAATACAACGAATTAAATGAATCGTGCTGCTATTGAGTTGAGACGTAGGGCGAGATTTTACGCATGCGCACAGGAGGGGGAGCGTAGTACAACTCAATGAAATAAGAATAATCAGTGGGCATTCGTCGATAGTGTTTCAAAGTGCGGTCTACACAAAAATATTAGCGAATTATTACCGCGTTCCCGCAACAAATTGGTCTTTTATATATCGTGACAGTGAATTGTGATTGGATTTGGTGATCATGTCTAACGCACCGGTGAAGAAAGTACCCATACATTTGCAGGTAAGTTTACAACACCTGTTGTTTTTCTTTAGATTCGCGATAAAAAATAATTGAACTACAATGCGACCTTCATACAATTGTCAGGACATCGGCCCTTTTTATTTAATGCCAAATTTAAACATACTATACTGTTTTTATTATATTTTAATCTGTGTGAATCATGTATGACCTAATTTTAGCGGATATTTGGGTTGCCGGTGCTTGCAAAATGGGTGTCGGTATGAATAGATTTTCCCACCGGCTTGTTACAGATAACGTGTACAAAAAAAAACAGTTTTAAACTAACGTATATTGTTGTGAATTGTAATTATTATTGGTAACGTGTGTCACGTTAGTGATAGTAAAATTTTATCTCACAGTTTTTTCGACCGTACTAGACGTAGGAGTGTAGGTACTTTATTATTAAGTGAATAAGGCAATTCTCAATAATTGAGAGGGCCTCTTAAAATTTGGCGTCCGTATTTTGTGCTTCGAAGTTCACAATATGGATATCGTTCAGAATATAGGCATGGATATACTAACATTTTGAATATTACCCACCATCTTTTTACTGTATAGTTTATTTGAAGAGAAATTAATAAAAATATAAAGAAACTACTAATTGACTCGATACTAACACTATCACTTATATAGATGGTAGTTGAACGAAAACTTCGATTCGTTTCTAATTTCATTCATTTAGAGGGTGTGTCTGTGATAATTTTATGAAAACTTGGTTACCATTTCATTAAATTTTATTAAAACACGTAATTGTGAGTTTAATTGATACTTCTTCATCGTCGAATATTTTATTGAATCTATATGTAGATATATCTTATAATGGGGCGGGTAGATATATAATTTAAGTAAGGTAGTAGGAATCCTACATAGAAAACATACCTACCTACTATAAGTAGGTAACTAACTTTTAATTTAATGTACCAAAGATATTAATGTAATTAAACTAGCTGTATCCCGCGGCTTCGCCCACGAGAATTAGTACGTAAGACATCCTAAGTTAGAATAGAAATGATCTACCCGTGTGCTAAATTTCTTTCAAATCCTTTTTTCGTGAAAGGGTATCAATCCGTATATCCGTATCCGTCTTTCCATCCTCACAAACGTTCACATTTAATATACTACCGTGACTTCGTCCACGTTACCGAGATATATTTACTGACTGGGATAAAAACTATAACCTATAACTATTTCCATCCCATATAGATGTACTATTGGCGTGAATTTACAGGGTACCGAGGAATAACACCTGAGTCCTCAGGAATGGCAACGCATGGGGGGTATCATGGGCGAAACAGTATACTCTGTCATATCCATGGTACTGCTCATGTCTATAGGCGACGGTTATCACTTTTCATCAGGTGGACCGTCAACTTGTTTGCCATTTTAAGATGTATAAAAAAAAAAACTATATCAAATTTCATAATAATCGATTAAGTATTTAAAAAACTACAAGTTAACTAACAAACACACTATCGCATTTATAATATAGTGAGGGTATTAGGATTAAAAAGATATACAAAAAATATATCATTGTAAAACCCTATCAATTTAAAAAAAAGTAGGTATCAATATATTTTTTTTTTATCTTTTTTATTTAGAGGCTTTTATCCTATAAGGTTATGTCAGCCTCATCATACCCTAATTTTATGGTATAAAATACGTCACATACTTAAAACATTGATACATAAATAAATAATACATAATCAATATATTTAATTCTTCTACAATTACTACAGTAAAACGCAAAAAGAAGATTTTGATGTACGATTTGAGAACAGATTCCTTTTTCAAAAACACAAAGAACAAAACACCGAACTGATTAATTTGACTCAAAATCTCGAAAAACAGCAAAGTAATTCATCACAAAGCTACGAATTATCTTGGTAAGAAAAGTAATATGTAATTTTCGCTCCGGGTTTAAGGTTATGATAAAGTCCGTCCTTGAGCTGTGAATGACCTCAGATACAGTAACTCCCTATAGCTATACGTAACACGCTTGGACCCTTGTTGCCGTCCGTACGTGACATGCGCAGTGGTTCCGGGATTTGCTTGCTAAAGGATAAGTAATAGAATGTTTTTGGCTCATAGGTACTTAAGATCTTTAGATTATATAGACGGTGTCTCCATACAAATGTTTCGAGAAAAGTGGGTCACCTTTTTCATACAATTTTAAGCATGACTATTGTTTTTTTTTTTTATAACTTCTATATTTATTTTGTCTTATAAATTCTGCACCTTTTAAATGCGCAAAAACTAATTTTATACATTAAATAATTAAACATAGATACGTCAAGGTGCATTGTGTGCGGAAGTATATAAAACATTAAAAAAAAAAGAGTCAGCTAATTTGACAATTAGCTGACGAAAAGTTGACCCGTTTTTGAAACTCGAGGCTCTATATATATAGTCTAGTTAAGATCATAGGTACTCTTTTATTTAGTAAGCAGTAACCTGCTCTAGTTTCGTACGCATGCAAATTAGGTTTTCTTTTTTAATGGATGATAATGAAATAGTAACCCTGCCTGCGCTAACGGTATACGCTGAGGGGGCACTAGAAAGGGATGATAGTTGAAAATGAAAAGGCAGGTCAGTTAACCCATAGTTATGAATACACCTATAATTCAGCACGATGGTTCCCAGAAGGGACCGTGTGGAGGTCGACCTCTATCGACCTAACAATCTCTTTTCCCCATGCTAATTAGTTTGTACTGTACATACAATAGTTTGTACGGTACAACCTAAAAAATAAAGAAAACGCGTCTTCAATTGTGGCCAAACCAGTTATTTTGTTTTAAAAACTAAAATACTGAATCGATCGATAATAAAACTCTATGAGACCAATTCGAAAGTATAACGTTAGAGATAAAAAGAGAATTTTTCAAATCGGTTTTATAAATAACACAGTTATAAAGTAACAAACATGATAAATGAACAACCGAATTGAGCAACTCCTTTGTTGAAATCGGTCGAAAAAAACACTTTAATTGTAAATACATACAGATAAATGACAAGATGTTTTACAGTGTTTTGCTCCGCAAGAAAATAATGGCCTCAGCAGTCATAAAATTATTTAAAGGATCAACATAAGAGTAAACCCTATCTATTACATAAAGATGCATGAAAATCGGCCCAAAATCTAGATATAACATACCATACCTACATACATAAAGTACAGAGAAATTGATAAAATCCTCCTTTTAAGTCGTTTAAAAATATATCTAAAAGTTACTTATAATGGTTAAACTAACAAATAGCTAACTAGCAAAGTTAACCTTGGTTTATTAAAATAGATGCATTAACAACGTTTTTGTTTTCAACAGCTCAGCCTAAGCCACATGTGATAAAATTTAAATAGATCAAATTTATGATATGCATTTTCATATAAAAATAGCTACTCATTCGCTTGAATATAAATATTATGTTTTTTTTTATTTATAAATAGTTTAAGGCAGGGGTGGCCAACTAGTCGTTCGCGACTATTAGTCCAGTCGGTCGTGGCAAGGCAATAATTTATTTTATTTGGGATAACAGCTTTATAAAAAAAATCAATACATATTACATTACATTTACTACGTGCTAGCCAATTATAGTTATCCACAGCGTAAAACATAAGAATCCGTTAAGCAAATAAAAAACCATACTTTATAGTAATATAATATTTTGCTAATCTAACGGAAGATGCTCAGACGCAATTCTCACACTAATATAACTAAGTGGTTACCAAGAATAGTTTTTCCTCTTAATAAAATATTTTTTTATGCAACTTAGAATGGCAATCAAGCTGACGCCCCACCTGATGGAAAGTGGTAACCGTCGCCTGTAGACATGAGCAGTACCATGGACATAACAGAGTATACTGTTTCGCCCATGATACCCCCCATGCGTTGCCATTCCTGAGGACTCAGTTGTTATTCCTCCGTACTCAGTAAATTCACGCCATATCGCACCCTTCAAACCGAAACACAGCCATGCAAACACAACTGCTTTACGGTTGAAACACAAATGGGACAGAGGTGCCCAAGCAATCGATTTATTTTGTTTAATTCCGCTACTGTTAATGTGTGTGACTGCCAACATCTGTCCACATATTTCATCAATAATGCAATATGTGGACTTATACCTATTGTTAACATCTATATCGATATATTTATCTATACTTATAATAAATCTGTTTTTTTATGGGTGAAAATGGTATGGTAACCCCGCCTGCGCTAACGGGATACGTTGACGGAGCACCAGTGAAGGGTGATAGATGAGAATGAAAACAGCCCAGTTAGCCCATCATGATGAATTCATCAGGAATTAACCATGATAGTTTCCGGGGAGAACCGCGAAGAGGTCGACCTAGTTGGTGGGATTTTTAGTCTCCATTACTAACAATCCTTTTTCCCCGATATCAAAATTTTTTTTATAATGGGCGATAATGGAATGGTATCCCCACCCGCGCTACATACACCGGCGGGGCACCAGTGAAGAGCAATATACCCAATATTGCTAGCAATGGGATTCACAGTCTCCATTACTAACAATCCCTTTCCCCCCCATAATAAATCTGTAGAGAGGTCAATTCTGTACATGAAATGTATTTCCAAAATAACTATCAGGGGGTGATTAGTGATCGATACTGATGCCAAAAATGTAATTAGTAAAATTTTTATCTGTCTGTCTGTATGTTCGTTACAGAAACAAAAACTACTCGACGGATTTCAACGAAACTTGATACAATTATTGTTCATACTCCTGGGCTGGTTATAGTATATTTTTATCACGCTACGATCAAGAGGAGCAGAGCAGTGAAGGGAAATGTTGGGAAAACGGGAGAAGTTACTCCATTTTTAAGCTTCCGTCGCGTGTGCAATCTTAATGACCACTTTTTAAAATGTAAAAATGTCCACCCGTGCGAAGCCGGGACGGGCCGCTAGTTTATTATAAATAAATATTCATTCATTCATTCACTCTAATAGCAACTCGATTCTGCTTTGCACTGTATTTTTTTTTTT